AGCAGGAGAGGACTCTTTAAAGTAGAGACACCTGAACAACAAGTCTTCTCCAGGATGAAACTCAGAGATAATCAGCGTCTCAGATAACCCAACAGTTTCTTGCACCGACATTTAAAAACATTTCCGTTTCCGGAGCCTCTTCATTAAATGATTTGTCATGACTAAATGTTCCTGTCTCACACTTTAACAAAATGCCAGGAAGCAGAAGCAGCTCACCTTCAGTTTTACTTCTGCCCTTTGGAAATGTCGAGCACATTTTCCTGCGTCATGTAACCGTCAGTCAGAAACAAAAGTGTTCTGTTAGAAGAAAGGTGGACGAGCTCCTGCTGGGAACAAATATATAACATTATAAATAAAACCGATGCAGAAACAGAGGATGTCTGCAGAGCTGAGGCCTTCAGGGACCTCTATCAAACAGGAACCTTTTCACCCACAAAGACCAGGAAGGGATGGAAAAGAAATGAGAAATGTGAGTTCTTATTGCATTAATATTTGTGTAATTATATCCGGTTTAGTTTAGTGAATTTGAATAAATCTCCTGGACTCAGCGTTACCTGCTGGCTGTTTCTCTTCCTGCACTTTATCTGAAACTAAACCAGCCTGAAGAACAAACATTTTAATGAATTGAATATTGTCTCTAACCCAAAATAAACCCTTCTCTCCCATAAACAATTCAACAGGGATCAGGCGAGCCTGGGCAGGAAGTGACCGGCAACACTTTGGAGAAAAGTTGTGAAATTGTGAAGTGATTAATAAGAAAATAATTTTATGGCAATTCAAATGATTAAAGCTGTAGGGCTTTTTGCGGTTAGTGTGAAAAGCTGAAGAAGGCAACAAAGCTGAGAAGCAAATTGCATTAGTACGTTGAGGAGAACTGTATTAAAATGCAAATGTACAGCTGTTAATAGTTCTTCAAAAACCAATAATCCCCCACAGTCAGTCATGTGTCAAAATGGTTAATGGAAAAATATCCCAGAGGCATCCGAGGTCCTTCCATCCCGCTTCTGATTATAGCAGAAATTCTGTTTGGGGAGAGCGGGGGGTCAGCGTGGCTTAATGTGGGCAGCGTCCCAAACCCATTGTTCTGATGAATATCTCCTCTTCCTCTTCCTCTCTGGGGATCTGATCTGCAGATACTCATCAGACAACCTGTGCTGGACAATCTGGCTTTTATATAACGCTGTATCTGAATACAGAGGATGTAGGCCGAAGGTAATACACATAATCATTGTTGAGGTCAAAGATGGGAATTAACTGAGTACTCAAGTACTGATCAATTTTGAGGTACTTCTAAGATAATATATTTATTGATCCCAATTTGGGAAATGTTAGCGTTGCAGCAGCATAAAAAGGCATGGCATTGTACATTAGAGAAATTAAAAGACTAGAAATAAACAGTCCAAAATGTAAACGTCTCAACAGAAATAAAATGGCATTAAAAAAGTAGAAAATATACATGTTGAATTAAAAATGTACAGTAACAAAATATAAAGCAGGATATTATAAATACATATATTATACTTCTACTCTCCAGAGGTACATGGTGTACTTTTACTCCACTACATGTATTTAATACCTTTAGATCAGGGGTGTCCAAACTACGGTCCGGGGGCCAAATGAGGGCCATTTTGAATCGGCCCTCAGCTAATTCAAAACGTATAATGGAATACGGCCCACAAATGAAACTTGTGCTTGTCTTATATTGTACTTCTTAACTATAAATGTAAACAGATATTACACAGTAGTGTTCATGTGTTGATAAGACCTCTTTTCAAATACATTCAGTCAATTCAAGTTTTCTAATATATCTTAGTTGATAAGAAAAAAGGCTTCTGTTTTAAGGGATGAGCTAAACACTCACAGCATCATTTACCACATTTGATTGATTTTGCTGACTTAATACTGAACTTATGAGGCAGTACACCTCTAGCCCTGCCCTTCGTATATTCTTCTGTCTGTGGCCCTCGGTGAAAAAGGTTTGGACCCACCTGCTTTAGATACTTCTCAGATGTGGATGAATGATGTGAAATATAATCAAGTGTTAAATCAGACTTTAGTTCCACCTGGAGTAAATCCACCAGCTACCCTGCAGTATACAAAGTCATTCAAACTGAATGGAGTCTTGTCTCCTCTTTCATTGAATGTATGTTCAGCAGTTCAAATAAATAATGCTTCCATTCAGCTGGTTTTTATTTAGTTGTTCATAATGAAGACAATAATCATTGTGAATGTTATTCTCCCTTATTAGTCTGCATAGAAACCAAATCAAAACCCTTCTATATAGACTTTTTTCACTACTTTTTATTTTGTATTTTTGTATTATGTTGCATCGTTGGAGGAGCTCAAGTCAGAAGAATTTCATTTCCATTTCTACACTTTAGCTGCTGAGCATCTGACAATACAAGCTTTGAATCTTTGAATCTTGAATCTTCTCAGTAAGGTTAAAATCTGTCTTCATGTTCGTCACATTTTGCATCAGCGTGCATTGTTGTGTTGTGTGTTTGCTGCTATTTATCCGCACAGCAGGAAGTCCCCGCTGGCTTGTTAAAAGTGAGCTTTGAGGGCAAACTTTCTGGAGGCAGCTCCTTAATGAGGACGGCTATAAAAGCCCCCTGCGGACCCCCAACTCACAGACCTGGCATCCACTTCAATTACTGATAAGTTGTGAGCTGAAGGCAGCGTCTCTGCTCCAGAGCCTTTTAGAGGTCTCCTATCATGCTACTTTTATTACAGGTCTCACATGTATAGACATTTCTAAAAAACATGTCTATGAAGTGTTTTGCTCAAAATACCAAACAGATCATTCTCGCCTCAAAGCCCTCTCTTTCAGCTGTTACTAAAGAGATGATTCTGGGTCTGTAGCTTTAAAAAACAAGAAATAATAAAAGAGGGGGCGGAGCTTATGCCTGCAGAATTCTCCCATCCAAAACTCAGCTAAATGCTGCCGTGATGAAACTCCACATCATGTTCCAAACCACATCAAGGATTCTCTCTGAAACAGGATGGAGCTCAAACTCTTTCTCTCTCTCAGGTTTACCACAAGGTGACTTCCTTTTGATTTCCTGCTTCTTCACACACACTCTCTCCAGTACAGGTTAGCTCTGAGTGTTAGCATGCTAATGTAAACACAGACCATATTACTTCCAGAACACGTCTCATTGTTTCTGACAGCAACGTTTCTGATTGGCCCGTGGGTGTAAAGCCCGCCCACATTTTAGTAATGTCGTCATGACGCAGCAAATCTGGATCAGCTCCGTTGTTCCCCGTATTTAGAGATGTGGGTACGGAGGAAAAGAGAGAGGGGTTCATTTCCTGCCACTTTGAGAGTCTCCTGACACACCGGGGACACACCGGGGACACACCGGGGACACATGGTGACACACCGGGGACACACCGGGGACACATAGTTATGTAGAAAAGACATCAAAAAGTGCATTTTGCATGATAGGAGACCTTTAACAGATGCTATCATCTCCAAATCTCCACATCGAACGCGACCTCAACTCCAACAGTCCGACGTTCTGGCACAAATCTGCTCATCACACATGGTGCGAAAACCAGGACACGCTCCAAGAAGTAATTATAGTCGGACGCAGAGCGTATGTGTTCTGAGTCTTTTTTCTGTGATGCTTCCACAAACTGTTTACACACTCTCTGTGTGTTCGCTGCACTCAGGAGAAATATGGAGCATGATTTGTTTTGGATGATGCATGCAGAATACTAAAGAAAACACTTTGTACAGCGATGAAACGAAACCTGTGAATATGACTAGATGTACCAGTTTGTGCACAGTTGAAACATCGTTATAAAGAATCAGAAAGACGGTCGGAGATGTTTAAAATACTGTGTCTTTGCTTTAGATATCCAGCCCCACCTGTGAGTTAGGACTACATTCACTTGTAATGCACGACTATATTAACTATTGTGCCCTTTATTTCCTTTTCATCCCTTTCCAAACTTCTTCAGCATCTCAGTATGTGCTGAGTGTTTTATGCAGCGTGGTTATTTGACATTGCCTGATTCCAAACTTGTCCGTTGAAGAAAGATTTTGCACATAAGAGGCTGACTTTCCTGTGAGCGCTCGACCCTGAGTGTGCATGGTAGTATGAATATTTGCAGCTGTTTGGAAATGGTCTTTGTTTCTTTTACGACACGCCCAATCTTTCTTTAGCTATCATCCATTTTATTGGTCAAACCATAACAATTCCCCCGCTGTCATCTTAAACAACAACAGTTTTTCTCCCGCGCAGATTTGATAGAACTCTCAAAATATTCAGTTTTGAAATTTTTCTAAATTCATCCATTACCAGTGTTACTGTCTGATGATGGAGTGTGAAAAGTGTGTTTGTTCTCAGGGTGTCAGACCGTCTAATTCCCACCTAGGACCTCCATGAAGACACCAATTAAAAATGAAATCTCCTCAATACTTAAATATATTTTCTGAATTTCGACTTCTTTCAGAATTTTTACTTTTTCTCAGAATTTCGACTTTTTCAGATTTTCGACTTTTTCAGAATTTCTTTCAGAATTTCGACTTTTTCAGAATTTCTTTCCGAATTTCGACTTTTTCTGAATTTCTTTTACAATTTCGACTTCATTAGAATTTGGAATATTTTCTTTGATTACCAATTTTTTTCAGAATTTAGAATTTTTTGGGAATTTTTGCTTTTTCAGAATTTAGAATTTTTTCGATTCATTTTCAAACATTTCCAAATTTGCACTTCACTCATAATTTTTTTTTCTGAATTCTGACTTTTTTCAGTTTTTTTTACAGGTTATGGATTTCTGTGGCCATACATTTTTTGCAAACAATCGACTGCTCTAGACAAAAGACTTCTAACAAGTATCCAATATTAACCGCACATGATCAGTAACTCCTCAGCTCATTGGGACCTGGGAACAGATTTGTTGTTATTTAGTTTGAACCAACACGTTAGAGCAGCAAAAACAACAGAAAGAAGCAACGCAAACCAACATTCAATTGTTAAAATGTACTGTGTTCTTTAATTAATATGTACATATCCAACCCCCACCGTCCCCCCCAATAAAGAAAAAATTCAATTAATACCTTTTAATATATTTAGTAAGTTTTACAGTGTCTGTACAGGAGTGATGGTTTCAAGAAATTCACATCTAGGGCAGCAACACCATTTGTTAGGAACCAAGAACGAGCATAAATGGAGTGAACAAGAGGAATTAGCGAGGGGGGGGACACACAGCTCATGGGGGCATTTACAGAAGCAGTTTATTGGGATAAACTATGTACAATACAAACCATTCTTACAAATTAGGCTCTAAGATATAGAATACATTACATTTGATATATTAAGTGACAATGAGCAAGCCCCATCCCCCACGCACGACCCGCTGATCGTCAACCAATCAGGTGATCCGACATTCAATCAGCTGAGAATAAACTCCACAAACTTTTTTTTTGACAGATTGACAGTTTTTATATCCAAGCGACATTTTCTCTCCTAATGGAGGAAGAAGATCTCACTTTGCTAAACTCACATTTAAATCTCCTCGTCAGTCGCCTTGCAGGGTTTCCTAAAGAATCCTGATTTTAATTTTTTATTCTTTTTAAATGAGGAATTAGTTATGATTTCCAGGATAAACTGCAGAGCGTTAATAGCACAGCAGAGGCAAACAGTCCAAATGTCCAGAGAGGCAATGTGTGTGAGATATGTGAAAATAGGGTGTTGATAACATCTAGTTTCAAAAGAAGTGAGAACTAAACATAAAGCAAACACAGGGGCGACTAATAATGATAACAATCAGAACAAACAGGACAATACGTCCCGCTATCTACACATCTGACAAAACTGAACTCAAGAATCAATTCTAACTGTCGTTTTTTTTGCAGATTTCAGTCCTTTGTAGCAGCGTTAGACTGTTTAAAGTAACCGTCCTCTGCAGGATTCATGACGTCACGTTGGGTAATCACTTGGGGGCTTGACTCTCTTGTTGTGGACATTTTTAGGGACAGTTCGGCTAAAACGCTCCTCTCTGGGATGGGTAGAAGCTCCAGTCCGCGCTCCACTGGTCCACTTTTCCCACTTTTTGCTCGTCATCCGGACGGGAAGTAGGGCGTGTCGCTGTGGTAGTTGTAGTCCGGACAAACTTTCTGCACCAGTTTGTAGTCGGTGCTGTAGAAGGAGATGAAGATACAGATGACCTTGAAGGGTTTGGAGCAAAGCCAAGACACGTGACTCTGGGTTTGCTCCTGGTAGCAAGTTTTGGACGGGTCGAAGTTGCAGAGCGTATTCTTGGCGCCTTTCTCCACCTTCTCGTATTCGATGCGGCAATTGAAGGACTTTGAATCCTTGGCGTCGATTACAGACTGCTGTGCCGCTACGTCGAATTCAACTACTTTAGTGGGCGGGACTAAACTGACGGAAACGTTGCCCTGGCCCGTGGAATTGTGACGGAAATAGACGCTGAAGGTGCCGTTTCCGTGGTCCACGATCTTTCCGGTGATCAGAAGGTTGAGTTTGACCGTCTTGATGTTGGAGTGGAAGTCGCCCCAGCCGAACATCTTCTTGAATTTCCCCGTCTTGACCATCGGCCGCCGTTTTGCCCGCGGCCGCGAATCCTGCAGGTCCGTGGTGTTCCTCAGCCAATCCCAGAGGTCCTGTTCGGAGTACGGTTCAGGGGTGTCGTAGCGAAGATCCAAGGCTGTGCTGTTCTCTTTTCCGTGGAGAGTCTGTGACAGCAGCCTACTGATGGACATGTCCTTACTGCTTTCTGTCCATATGTGCTTTAGTGTGGATTTGGGGGTTCCCGACTTCACGATCTCCGACTTTGAGGCGTGGGCAACCTGTGGAAGAGAGAAAAACATCTGGTTAGTTACGTATGTCTTTGGACAGTCAACTGAGAGCAATCGTCTGTCAGTCGTCACAAAGTACTCAATATTTTTGTGTCGTTTTTGCATTTTTCAACTCATGAATGTCTTTGAAATGTGCTGAAGCCATCCATGTTTCCAGAGTGTAACACTAGCCTCAAGGTAAGTAGTGAGCACAGAAATATATCAATCAATCAGTTCCAAAACATTTTGAGAATATCCAGGTCGCTCGGAAGAAGATACTGAGCAGCAACTGTGTGACACACAGCAAGTTTTGAAAAGGGTAGCACACGATTAATATATTAAAATATTCAGCATATTTTTAGGATAAAACAATAAAAACAACAAATCACAGAATTCTTACAAAAATAATAATAAATGTACCATTTTTCTATGATATTTTAGAGTATCTGGTTCCATTGACTTTAACTTGTTAATGTGTATTAATAATTTGTTCATGATTTTTATATTAGTGACTCTGAAAAGGTATGTTTGGTGCTGGGAAAGGCATCGTTTTGTTGGACGCAATTGATCCTTGTTTGTTGGATCATGGAAACATAAGAACATGAATTGCACAACTGAAGTTCTTGCATTGAAAGTTTGAGTTTGTTTTCATTCTCTGTTTGTTTTTTGGTCGGGGCGTCAAGGTTTAGGACACTGGGATCAAAACTGGGAAACCTTCTGATTACTGGAAGATTGCCCATCCTCCTTTGTCGCCTCAAAGACCCTAAAAAAGGTCTAGGTCTCTTAGTACAAAGAACTTGAAGCGACCATCAGTGGTCCAACCCTTTCATTTAGAAATCTCCACAGTTTTTCCTACAGAACCACCTAGAATCTGGTGCCTCGGCTGCAGTTTCATTCTGAGGGTGTTTCAATTTTTCATCTGCTTTTGGTAAAGGCAATAAAGTAAAGGACACCTTGATATTGCCTTGGATCGAACTGGAACCTTCTTATGTACAAGATGTTTCATTCCTTTGTCGCCTCAAAGACCATAAAAAGGTTCGCTCCAGCCCTGCAGGTACAGAAACTGGCACTGGTGTATCGGGTGAAACGATGCGTCATGAGATATTACTCTTCTGTGTCATTCAGGAAATATTGACTTTCACATTCAACCATGTCCACAAAATTGACCAATCAAAATAACTCCATGGGGGGTTGGAGAGATCAATCTTCGCTGCAAGCTTCAATTTCAAATCATGACAGCAGACAGATCCAAATTGGGAATTATAGTGAAGAGAATACAGCAATCAAAGTAAAACATGGTGCCTCCCTCTGCCGGCTCAGATAAATGCAGTGTCCGTTCGGAGGGTGAAGAGCAGACTATTAACTAACGAGTGCTCCTTCAATTGGTGATTGATGAACTGGAGTTTTCACTATTTAGCGCCGATGAGTGGAATTAGCCTCTGCTGGAGGAATGTGACATTGATTGGCTGATTATCTCTTTGTACGCCGGCAGCTGATCCGTCTTGCTGAAGGGTTTTTGCATTTTGCAGGGTTGCCCTCCGGATCAATACTTACTACCAATCAGTTTCCAATTGAATTGCTTCTGAACACCACAGGGACACGCCGAGAGATTTACTCATACGCTTACAAGGACAACACACCTGAGCTGCCAAATATAAAGTAAGGCAGCAGCATATAGATGAAGATATGACTCTGAGGGGCATTAAGGAGGCCATTTACAGCATGAATGTCATTGTGTTGGACCACTTCTACTTAACATCTGATAGAATAGACTTGACGCAGGGTTGCATTCCTCTTATACCTCCCTTTGGAAGCCTTTCCTTACTGTCTCTGGTGTTTATAAGTAAGAATGAGTGCAGGATTAAAGTAGGACATCAACCTAAATTACTTCTAAATTACGGATAACGAGATTTTATTGATTGAAAGTTGTCTGTGTAGTTGAATATAGATCAGTCCATACCTAAAGTCAAATGTTCTTGTCTTGTTTTAGTTAGAAAGCTTGTCTGAATGGGAAAACGACCTGTGGATGTGTGGAAACAGATGTGATGACAGACTGTTTTCATGTGAATACATTATCAATAGAAGAGTCACGGACCGTCCACACAGGGCGTTGAAGCTTGCCAGCGGGCGTGTCTGAAACTCGACCAGCAACCAATCACATAGTCTCCCGCCCCGGACACACAAGCACACGGTTTGATTGGCTAGAGCTTGTACTGGCATATAATTCGATTGGCTGACGCTTCCGTCAACTTTTGCAGCGAGCAACGCGTAGCGAGGCTCCCACAATGCAGTTCGGCGAAGCGTGACATCACCCCATTCAAAGTGAACGGAAGTGTTGGAAGAAGTACTTAGATAATTGGGTACTTAAGTAAAAGTACAAATACTAAAGCCGTAACGTGATCCTATTCTGCTCATTGTCAGGTTGATGTTAATATCTAGTGCCTATTCAACAACCGTCAAAACTGATTCATCAAATTCACTCAAATCAAGTGCAGAAATCAGGCTGATAATCTTCCACCAAGCTTTGGGTTTCACAGGTACACAGCACTGAAGGTAGAGCTCATTTAAAAAGAAGGACTATATTCAGAGTGTGCTGTGTTGAATATAAACCAGTTCCTCTAGACTTGAGGAAAGTGAAGCCTCTGAGCTGAAGAGGGTCTCAGGGGTCTATCTTTAGCTGAGGGTTAAACTCAGTATGAGGAGACACTCTCAGCAATCACCTTCTATTCACACAGGTGAGCCGGCCCCCTCGTGATGAAGGGGATCACATTAGGATGGATTTATGATAATGTGACTTCCTGTTTCTCAGTACGTTCAAAGGAACTGATTAAAACACGAGCATTGAAACTGGAGAGGAAACACTTCAGATGCAGTCGCTCTTAAGGGAATCAGATGTATGTTTTAAATATATTTTAATCCTCACAGAAATGAATTACTTGCACATGCAGTCTGCTGCAGAAAATAACATAACATGCTATGAAACGAACCAGCAGATAATACCTAATTTAGTTTATTTTAATCCAGTATTGGGAAGATTTGCAAGTACGTACTGTAAGGAAGTAAGTAAGGAAGAAAGTAAGCAAGTAGGTACGTTAGTATATAAGAAGGTAAGTAGGTACGTCAGCAAGTATGTGAGAAAGTAATTAAGTGCGTAGGTATGTTGGTACGTAGCTGAGTGGTCCTGTTTGTGTAGTTCAGGCTTTGCTTTACCCCCGGATGTTTCACTGAGGTTAGGAAAGGAGGTTTAGGAAAATACATTATTTGATTCCTCTGTCTGTAGGCTGGACTCTCCTCTCTGCAGACTCTCTGTTTATCTACTCTCAAGCATCCTGCAGGTCATTTCTATAAGTCAGTAAGTACGTAAGGAAGGAAGGAAGGAAGTAAGGAAGTAAGTAAGGAAGTAAGCAAGCAAGTAGGTAAGTAAGCACCTAAGCACGTAAGCAAATAGGTAAATAAGGAAGGAAGTACGTAAACAAGTAAGTAAGGAAGTAAGTAAGTAAGGAAGTATAAGTAGGTAAGTAAGCACCAAAGCACGTAAGCAAATAGGTAAGTAAGTAAGGTAGTAGGTAAGTAAGTAAGGAAGTAAGCAAGTGTATAAGTAGGTAAGTAAGCACCAAAGCAAGTATGTGAGAAAGTAATTGCGTAAGTTAGTCGGTACGTTGGTGCGTTGCTAAGTAAGTGGTCCTGTTGGTGTAGTTCAGTCAGGCTCCTGATTCACTCTCCTTCATTCTTCTTTAGGAAACGAAATGATTTGATTCCTCTGTCTGGAGGCTGGACTCTCCTCTCTGCAGGCGGACATGTTTATCTACCCTCAGGCATCCTGCAGCAGGTTTTTCTGGGCCGGGGGCCAGTTTGGGGGGTTTGTTGGAACCTGGAGCTGCCAGCTGCAGCCCTTCACCTGAGGGACGGTGCATCTGGTGAGCAGAACCTGAAACCTGGCCAGAACCGGCTCAGATCCTGAGGAACATCCAGACTGACATCCAGACAGCAGCTGGACGCCTGCAGGCAGGACGTCTCTGCATCCACACTTCTCTACTGATGACAACATACACACCACACATGTATATTTATTACTTTTTTAATGCTGTTTTATTTCAATTTGAGACGTTTACATTTTGGATTGTTTATTTCTAATCTTCTAATTTCTCTAATGTGCAATGCCGTGTCTTTTTATGCTGCTGCAACGCAAACATTACCCTCATTGGGATCAATAAAGTACTTCCGATCTTCTGATCTTATCCTGAGGAGCTCTCTCACAATCTAAGTGGTAGTATTGCTCAATACTGTGAGTGAGTTAGTTAGTACACAAGTAAGCACGTAAGTAAGTGAACAAGTAAGCGAGAACACAATCAAGTAAGTAAACAATTAAGAGAGTTAGTAAGTTAAAAAGCCAGTAAGTATGTAGGTACGTTCGCTCGATATTGTGACGATATAGTCAATCGATCAATTTATCCAATATATTGCCCAATATCACAAATTACACATTTGTCTGCAGAGGATCTACAGCTCGTAAATAAACCCTCTGTCCTTAGACCCTCGCAGTAACTAGGTAAGTAACTAGGTAAGCTCAGAGAGACGAGGACCCCTCCCCCAGGTGACTGATTTGCAATAGGTGGTGTGTGACAATGAAAAAGATGATACACTTACAACAAAGTGAGTCTAAATTATAGAACATATCCTGTGTTTATATATTAATAGAGAAAGAAGAATGGATGTCAACAATCTTCCAAGGACCGCTCAGGAGACCATACAGTTATATTGACTATTTTTAAACATATGTTTGTGTTATTATGAATCACGTCTTGATTTGAACAATCTGAATAAGAGCTTGAATTCACCAGACAAGGTTAAAACAACAGCAATGAGGACGGACACTGTGCTACGCTGGATAGCCTTCACGCAAGTCCTCAGAGTATAGGATCGGATGATCTATTTGAGAAGAACAACGTAAGCGAAAGGCAAACATATGCCAAGAGAAAGGACCCGACCCTGACCCCAACGCTTACCCAATCACAAATACTAACAGACAAAAC